ATCTTGGTTGTTTCACTCACTGCGGGACGTCGTTGGTGGCTGGATCGTGGGGAGGGGGTCGTGGCGGGGATCGGTGGAGCAAACTCCAGTTGCCACATCGTGTGGAGATGGCATGGCTCAAGATTGGTCACGGCCCTGATGGTGTAGATGGCGACTGTGATCCTTTGTCCCTGCCATGGTCGTGTTTCATGCCATAGATGCGGGTGGAAGACAGCACCTGGCAAGGTGAGGTTTTGGATCCTGCCAAGCATGGTGCCATCTCTGGATGGGCAGTTACCGGAAGGGGCCTCTAGCCATAGGCCGCCACCCCTAAATGATGAGCATGGAAGCACCACGTTATAGCTGGCAGGGGAGTTGTTGAGGTCCCTCTGGGCCTGCATCATGGTGTTGCGTTGCAGCACAAAGCTCGTGAATGCCTCAGTCGTACACGAGCGAATATATTTGCATATCATAAGAGCGGAAACTGACAGCTGCAAAAATGCGAACGCACTCGCACACAACCGTTTTCACACCCTTGCTCCAGTAAGCCAACAGCGGCTTCGGTAGAGACTTCTGTTTGCTCTGCTCCGAAAGAAACCGCTGCACTGGGACATGTTTAGGCTCGCTTTCAGTCAAGCCTCCACTGGTCCCATGTTCTAGTGCAGTGGAAGAAGAAAAGTCACTGGCCCGACTTCTGAGCCTTGCGCCACACCGCTCGCTTCGCTGCAGCTGCGCGCCGCAGTTCCTGGGCCTCCGGAGTGTCCTTCAGCGACCATAGGCCCGTCGTCATCAGCTCAGTGAGGACCTTGTTGTGACTCCACTTAGTGAGGCCATCGCACGGCATGTGGGCGCCAGGGACCCAGCGCACGAGGTTGTTGCCGTCCTCGCTCAGCAGCCCTTGTCTCAAGACAGCCACATCAATGGCTGTCTTTCTGTCGGCGGGCAGGGACTCAGCACCGAGAGCGTCGTAGCCGGTCCGGGCATCGGTGACCAAAACATGAGGCCACTTTGCAGCACACACCTTCCACTTGGCAATGTTGAAGTTCGGATCCACCAACTCGCAAAAAACTGCCCTCACGTAGTCGCCGTGCTCGAATGCTGTGGCCAAGCTGGAGACCTCTGCCGACATTGAGCATCTCACCACCCTGTGGATCTTGTTGCTGGTCCCCTCCAGAATGCAAGCGGGAGCTCGGCCATGTAGCACCTCCGGAGAAGCCAACATGATGAGGATGCCGCCTTGACTAGCCCCACCAGGCATTGCCCCGTTAGCGGCATCGCTCACTGACAACACCGCCAAGTCCTCCAGGGGGCACCCCAGCTTCGGGATGCGCATCACCACGTCCTCTTGAGCTCGTCGGACTCCCTGAGCTAGCCACCGTAAGGAATCGAGACGTCCACGGCCTGCCAACTGCACCAGCGACGCCACGTAGCACAAGTCGTAGCGACTCTGTCTAGCCGCCCAATTGAGCTGACCAACGATGGACCCTATCAACTTGCGGTCACCCTCGGTCAGCTCGTCCGCTCCATCTGTGTCCTGGATGCGCTCCTCCATGCAGGTAACGGATGACATCCTCATTGCTCGGTTCCCCCCCAGTAGCTGTGGCCAAGTCATCGTCATGGGACCCCACTGGTGTGCTGGTGGATCTCGCTCTGAACTCCGACGACCCGGTTGGTGTGCTGGTGGATCTCGCTCTGAACTCCGATGACCCGGTTGGTGTGCTGGTGGATCTCGCTTTGAACTCCGAGGACCCGGTTTGTCTGCTGGGGGATCTCGTCGAGGACTCCGATGAACCGGCCTTCCGGACGGGGACCTTCGGCATGGGGATCGCCTTGGTATACTCAGTCATCGAGTACTCTATCTCCATGGTGTCAGGCGACTGCCTTTCCCATCGCCCGCAGAACTTTTGCCAACCCTCTGTGGCCTTGCGCAGCTTCCCAAACTTGAGCACCTCGTGGAGTCTCTCCCATATGCTTCCGCTCGTCTCGTCCCCGGCGTAGCGAGTGTCGTCCACGTGTATGCTCGCCATCGCCTTCAGCTCGCCCTGCTCATTGAAGGCCCTGAAGAGCCCCGGCACCAGCACCAACTCCATGAGGCCGAGACCTTGAATAGTGTCTCTGTACTCCAGGTACCAAAGGCGAGGGCTCTCTGGCAAACCGAAGCCTGCCTTGGTCAGCTCCACGAGGTCCGCGCGCACGTTGGCCCCCAAACCTGCCAAAAGGAACTCGGTGACCTCGGGCGGATATCCACTCGGCACCTTCACGTAGATCTTCTCAGTCCTCGGCAGCTCCTTGCCTTGAAGAAAAGCCGCGGAGACGTCCTCGTAGTGAACAGTCCACCCCTTTTGTACCGCCACGAAGTTGAGCAGGTTGTGGCCGAGCACACTTGCGGTAGGAGATGAAGTCGGGTAAAGTCCGGCGTCCGGATCTTTATGGCCTCCGAAGATCCATCTCGCCTTAAGCTCGGCCGCCGCAAGCTCTGCCCCACCTTTGTTGGTGAGCACAAACCGCGACGTCAACACTCTGGCTGGGTCGATGTCGTCGATGACTTGTCCTTGGGGTACGCGGATGCCGCTGTGCTCCAAGTACACGCCGACAGCTTTCTTCAGAGGTTCGACGTAAGCACGCCTCCAGTCTTCAGACAAACCTGCCCACTTGTACTCCACACGGGCCTTGCCCGTGGTCACTTCAGTGACCCCATCCATTTCAGCAGCTGCAAGGCAGGCACTCACCTTGAACAGTTCGTCCTGCTCAGCCGCTCAGCATGGGGCGAATATGGGGCGAAGGGGAGGACCACAGCGTCCACTGCCCCATCGTGTCATTGATGAGTGCATCCAACTCGCCGGGCTTGAAGAAGTCGGGCTCCAGCGGCGTCTCCACGGTGAGGGTTGCCTCGGTCCTCGAGGAGGTTGCCGGCACCACGGTGGTCTCCCCGACCAATTGCTCGCCCTTTCGGCCAGCAGTCCTTGGTCCACGCGCCCGGCCGGCCTTCGTCTTCGGCTTGGCTAAGATGGCCTTCCGCACTCTTTTCACCCTCAGGTAGGTGTCCTCCATCTGCTTCCGAAGTTGGGCCTCCTGGAGAGCTCTAGGAGGCTCCATTGACTTGGCCAGGGACTCGAAGAGCGTCTTGGCCAAGTCGAGCTCGTGGGGCTCCATGGCTCCTTCGGTGGCTTCCCGCTGTCGTTCCTCGAAGGTCCGCTTTACTGAAAACGGCAAGTCATCCAGCAGCTTCTGCCGTTCCGCCTGGGCCCGCTCATCCTCGGGGTCAGCGGGCTCTCCCTCCGAAGATGACGAAGATGAAGAGGAGGCCGGTTCGTTCCCACCCGGCTCGCCGTCCACGATCGCGCCCGGCTCACCCTCAAGCGTCTGCTCGACCTTCAGCTGGCCGCCCTCGAGCTCCTTGGTCACCTCGTCCAGGGGCCTGGTTCACGTAGTCGGCGCTCACCATCTCCTCAGTAGTAGCCAGCCGCACCTTCTCCAAGAAATATTTTCCCCGAAGTCGCACCCAGATCCTTTGTGGGACCGGCCGGTCTCGCTCCACGCAGACTACAATCCCCGGGCCAACCCAACTGACGTTGTCCTGCATGTCCTTTGCGCGACGGCGGAGGCTCACACAGATAAACTACGGCCCCTTCCCGGATCGCCTCGAGCTGCGGCGGGCGCGACCGAGAGGCCAAAGCTCGGCGTAGAGCATCACTTGCGTCAAGCCAACGAAAGGCCTCCAGAGCACCGATGCGAATGCGCTCGGCCCTGGCCACAGCCTCCTTATAGTGGTCGCCGCCTCGTTGTAGCGAAAGCGCATCTTGCCGCTGGCCAACTGCTCCATGAGGGACCCCGGCACCATGCTGTTGCGACCCGTCACCGCCTGCATCGGGGACACGCCGCCCTTGTTCATGGTGCGGTTCTTGGCAGCGAAGGCCGCGGCCGCTGCCCTCCTCATCTCGGCAACACCCGTAAGGTTGAGGCTCTTCACCATCTTCATCATCATCAACTTGACAATGGCCCTGCGGCGCTCGGCATGCCCAAGCTGCCACTTTGCACCTTCGGGCACGACCTCATGAACCACGGCGAAAAGGTCGTTCATCACCTGCACCGATCCCGCGCGACTCCGGGCCCCCGTCCGTGATGAGGAGGTCCGGCGGCCCAAACACACTGTACCACACATCCTGCAGGACCTCCCTCGCAAACGTGCTGTCTGGCCGATCCGTGAGGTCGCCCAGGTGGTAGTCCGTGAGCCCATCCACGAAGTGCGTGACGGCGTACTTGTGCCCCGCACTGTCCCAAATGTAGAAGGTGTCGCCGGAAGGCGGCGACGTGAGCACAAACCCCATTGCTCCCCTGGCGGGTTCAACACGAGGAGGTCGGGCTTCAACTTGTCCACATAGTCGAGAACCTCCTTGAGCCGCGGCTCCTTGTCGTAGATCTCGACCTCCCAGCCACTCGTCGATGTTCACGGCATCCCAGCCAGGCCGGGCCCCGGCACAAGCCGACAAAATCCCGACCACCGCGAACAACTCGGCCACTCGCCATCGCCCATCCGCGCCCCCAGCTTGTCGTATAGCCTCGGCCGCCTCCTTGCCACAGCACACCCCAGCCTTGAGACGCTGAGTCAGGCCCCGATTGGGCCGGTGGCTCTTCACATCAGGTGCCACACTCAGTCCCGGATCGTTCAGTTTCTGCCTCATCGAGCCTAGATGGCCCCAGAGGCTCCCGATCTCCTTGGCAAAGAGGCGGCTCAACCACCTTGGATTCCTTGTCCACCTCTTGTCTCCGTCGGCTTCTATGGCACGTTTGGCTCTGATTTGCCATAACAATTTCTTCCACAGGTAAGCTCTCATCCGACTTGCCATAGACGCCGTCACATTGTACGCGAGCTCGTAGCTCCATGCGTGGCTGAGGGAGGGGTACTCCTTGCCGTCCGGGCCGTTAACGTCCTTATTGGAAAGGTGTTTCACGAGTTGGGCCGCACGGTCCTTGAGTTGGACCATGATCCTCGGCCCAATCAAGTCCTCCGGCAACTGGTCCCCTTCCCCACCTATCCAGAACTCCACGCTCCTCTTCCACTCAAAGTAACTCTCCTGGGGCTTCGCGCGAAAAGCTGGCGGGTAGGTATTAGTCACCTTGGTGCCCCTGCGCCCTTCACCGGCGACCTTCACCTGGCCCTTCGGGTCCTGCTGGTTCATGTCGCCGCGGTACGCGTAGCCGTCGTCCATGCCGTTCTCGCGGAAGAGGCGCGTGCTGGTGCCGAGCGTGCTCCATTCAGGGTCCTGACCGCCTTCGGAAGGCGTTTTCCAAGACCAGTTCTCATCCCAGCCGCCTTTGCCGCGGCCGCTCGGCTTCCAGCTGCTCCCTGAACGGTCCTCAGGGCTTCGGCCTTCCCACGGGTCAGGAGAAGAGCCCTCCCAAGAGCCGTCCTCCTTCCACCCATCCCACTGTTCTCGGCGACGTCTCGTAGATCCACTCCACCACCGAGAGTCGTCGTCACTCGTCTCCTTCCCAGTGTCCCTGTCACTGGAAACATTTTAAGTTCTTCTCGGTCGGGCCCTTCCACTTTCGGACCCCAGTCGCCCAGTCGCTCACCGGCTCAGACTCGCCCGTCGAGTCGTCGAGCCCATCAGTGGTCTCGCCGAAGGCCTCGTAGTAGGACCTCATGTTGGCTTCTCGAAGCAAGGCCGGCTGCAAGCCGCTCCAAACACGCCGCTCGCAGGCGGCCACACAGACACAGAGTACACAAAGTCCGGAATCGCACCGCGGTCCTTTTCACAGTGGCCCCCTCGCAGAGCTGCCGTCCCTGGATCGTCGCACAGGCTCCGCTGCCAGCGGAAACTGACAGCTGCAAAAATGCGAACGCACTCGCACACGACCGTTTTCACACCCTTGCTCCAGTAAGCCAACAGCGGCTTCGGTAGAGACTTCTGTTCGCTCTGCTCAGAAAGAAACCGCTGCACAGGGACATGTTTAGGCTCGCTTTCAGTATAAGTGTCACCCAGGGGAATGTCGTCGTGTTGCGACGTAAGCCTTGGAGCGGGCCTTGTGAGTAGGCTCCACGCAGGAAGCACATTCCATCTGCGTGATCTGTGCTGGCTTCTCTACGAAGGTCCCCGCTAGGAAGGCAGTCGCATAGGAGTTCCCATGCATCCATGCGAATTTGCCCATCGGCAATCATGTCAGCAGCAATCTGCTCAGCCACCTGCCGTGGCGTGGGACTGCTACTGCTACTGCTACTCCTACTACTACTACTACTACTACTACTACTACTACTACTACTACTTGTACTATTACCACCACCACCATCAACAGCAACAACAACACCAACAACACCACAGCTACCACTACAACGACGACCACGACGACGACGACGACGACGACGACGACGACGACGACTACTACTACTACTGCTACTGCTACTACTACTACTACCACCACTACTACGACTACGACTACGACTACTGCTGCTGCTGCGGCAAACTAGTCACACACCAAAGCCGTGCACAAGATCAGAAACCGCAACATCGAACGGCAGGCCAGGCTTTAGAAGGTCAATCCGAGCTACAGCCATCCACCCGAGACGGAAGTGCTCGCACCCTCCGCAAAAGCTGACATGGCAGCCTTGGAAGCCAGACTCACATAGAAGGCATCAACGCTTATGTCGGTATTCTCGCTGCTCTGGGGCCTCGACGCTAAGTAAAGAGAAGTCAGGCTGAAGGTGACGAGCATCCACGTCGGCCATCAGGTCTGGGAGAGCACAGCTCTGGAAAGTTCTCAACTCTAAACTAATAAATTTTGCAGCGAAGCCCTGTACCCTCATTAACTTCCTTCCAATGCCTGTATTGCTACGAGTCCAGCTGTAGGCAGTGGAGATTTGTGTACTGAGATTCCATGCCGGTGGCATGCTGCCATGCCGAAGCATCGCCACAAGCCGTGACCGCAGCTGTGACGGACACAACCTCGGAGCGGTATGCCGTTGGTAGAGGGATTCTTGCTGCGCTATAGCTGCGGCTGACAGGCCCAACATCAATTGCGTTGCGCGCCGACTCGGTGCAAGAAGCCCTCTGTGCAATGCTCTGCATTGGAATTGGAGTCCAAGTTGCGTCACAACTCTCCGCCATGGCTGCAAGAGCCGCGAGGGACCTGCAAGCCCATGTCATGGGTGTCTGGCACGCTCTCCTGGCAAACAAGTGCACCCTTCTGCCTCTGCCAGTGCCACGCATTCTGGCAAGCCCCGAGGAATGCATTGCACGCGATGACGTTAAGCTGCAGGAGTCGACGCCGAGCGGCACGGAGCAGCGACCTTACTACAGCATGCGGGGAACCCGTTCAACGTGCACGCCGTAAGAACGCCCAAGCCTCATCAAATCCCCGAAGATGAGAATCCCATCCAATGCTTGGGGAAGACACTGCCGGCTCCCACTCAGCTGCTTTCTCGCAGGCACTGGTGCTCGCGGCGCAGGTGACGATGTTCGGGTTCCTGAAGTCTCACCGAATTCCAGAGTGACAACGGTTTCCACATGTGCCGAGAGCTTCGTCTCCTTCACAGTCGAAGCATCACTACGGCACGAAGTCAGAAAATAAGTCCCTTCACAAGGCCGTCATTGGTGCCAGTGAGTTGCAAGGTGCAGCTCTCGGCGTGCTCCTGGATGCTGCGACTTGCAATCGCTCCCCTCGTGCGCCAAAATCTGTTGTTGGAGGAGGTCTAACGGCTCACACCGACTCAAACCATCTCTAACGGCTACGCAAACCCAAGTCGACCTGGTGCCTGCCGGAATCCTGGCTTTGCAAATCTCCTGCAACTCCAGCGCCCAGGTCCACTGGCCGGCCTTCTCCTTGCCAAGCGGCAGGCTCCGGGTTGATTCGCGTGATCGTGTGGTACATCAGACGTGCCCACAAGTCTGCAGCCGATGCGTGATGAATGCATACAATCGACGTCAGACTGTAGTGAAGGAAATATCTGGCTTCGAGCTACTCACTACCCTGTCTATCTCGAAGCAGGAGCCGCCAAGCCAAATGCCACAGCTAGATTCAAGTTAGAGTGCCCGATGCAACATTTCGGCAAGACACGCAAGCGCTGATCGCAGCATTGCATGCGATGATGTTGGGCTGAATCTCTGCGTCACCTCTGCAAGACATCCTGAACCTCACACTGTAGACACTGCTGCGACCTCTCAATTTGATGCAGCCCAGCCGCTGATCTGGCTGAAGAGGCTCAGAGCCATCTGCCATTGCCGTGACTTCTCGCAGCACGAAATCGCCGCAGCATAGGTCACCTGAGCACCCTTCCTTCGGACCTCACTGACCCAGTACAGACCTCTCAAAAACCTTCATCTTCGGCCGGAAGCATGCAACCAGTGCCGATAGTGGCAAGCGACAGGGAGGTTCAGCTTGTGGCAGGATTGAGTCGTAGCAAGGGTTGATGAAGGTGCAGTATCACAGCACGCCATGCAAAGGTAAACGAGCGAGCCGAAGACGGAAAACATCACAGGACAAGATTCGAGCATGCATGCTTCAGCGAGAGACTTGCTGATGAAGGCGAGCTGCAGAAAGAGTTACGAAGGAAAGACTCATTCTAATTACATTACTTGTGCGGATCATGGGTTCGGAAAAGTGGCAAGAGGAGCTTTGCACAACTCGCGGGGTTGTGCCGGCACATGCAGGACAACAGGCCGAAACCAAACAGGCCGAAACCACACGTGGCAACAGCCGCGGCTCTGCAACTGCTTCCCCTCGACTATTCCAGGAGCGGGTATGTAGCAAGGATTGTTCCTGTATCACGTGTAGCACACTGTTGTCTCTTTCTGCACTAAATCTATAACAGATGCAAAGCGAGGTGAACTAAGGTGAATTAGTTGATAGAGGCATAAGGGCACAAAACAGGACAGTGAAGATAGCAATACAGTACGACTAATACCCTCACGCCCCGTTCGCCCAGAGACTGGGTGGCTCGAGCTTGGGAGACCAATAGGTCTTCATTTTAAAACGGAATGCCAATGGACCATAATTGCAAGGCAGGTAACTCTTCTGGCGATACTTGAGGCTCTGTGCAGCCTAAGCCTGACGTATGGTCTCGTTCGTTCTTCCGCGTCTTCCGCAGCACGCTAGGCGCTTCTTCAATCTTCCAACTTCCAATGCTGCACATACTTGGACTCCACAAGTGGGGGTTTCCGAAAATAGGGGACCCTAATACAGTACCCTACATGATAGGATCCCCAGTATAAGCACCCCAAAATAAGGTACCCTAAATTTCTGAAACTCCCAAGTGAGCTTGGAGTACAGCGCTAGCTTTTGGATGAAACGGCCGAGGCGCGACACTTGGCTCTAGACGCCCAGTCGACAGCTGCTCCAGGAAGGCCACGGCCCCCCTGGTTCTCAAAAGGGGACGGAAATCTAGAGGCGCTTTTCGATGTCATAGAACGGGTACTGTAGCTCCCTCAGAAATTGATGTTCGGTGTGAAAGCATTCCGCATTGGCTCCCGATTCGCCTCCAGTCCGCAGTTTTGCTGGCGCTGATGGCAGCATTGACTGCCACGGTGCTTGTGCGTAGGCCTGTCAGAAGAGGCCGGCATGTCCCTCGCTGCTGATGCTAGTTCACCAAGATTGGCCCGGAGCTTGTGAAGTTGTGGCTTTGATGCTCCTCAGGTCCTCAGACCGAACCCTGAGTCTTTCGTCTAGTGGCCCCTACACCCAACCGTTAGACCACCGCATTGTCTTTGCCTTCGTGTAGAAGCTGGTCGTGCAACGCGTAGGCCTGAGACCAAGTGGCCGTGGTAGATAGAAGGCAAGCAAGCTCATCTTGCAGCTGGTGCAGCATGCTGTGCGTAATTGCAAGGCCCTACAGTTCGCCATGGCACTGAGGAAATTCCGCGAGGCTTGAGCTACAAGCACCCATAGCAGTTTCTGGGCCACGGTCCTGCTCCCATGCTTGGCCCTTCTCCGCAGCGCTTATAGCCGCTCCGAAGGACACCACCGAACCTGCGAGGCAAAGAAAAGAACACAACTGCCTGGGCGCTGCTTGAATTCAGGCAAGGCTGCCCTCCAGCTCTCGGCGTCGCAGCGTCTGAAGGGTGACCTCGGCTGCCACGCCGAACCCCCCTGAACTTCAACCCACTTTGGGAGCTACGGTACAAGCAAGTATGGGAGAGCAGTTGCAAGCCACATCGAATCGATTAGTGTCTATACTGCCTCCCTGACATGGGGCTCGTTGCTAGAAAGACAACAGCCCATTCATCAGCAAGATCCAATAAGACGACGAAACAAGCCCCAAAGAAATAACTCCGACGGTGCCCAGCCCTGAAACTCAGGAATCTGATCCTTTGAGTCTGTGAACCCTGCAATTCTGCAAATCCTGCATTTACCTGCGGACCTCCAACAACCTGCACCACTGCGGGGGGCGTCCGCAAAGCCCAATCCTGAGCCCTAAACCCCAAATCCCCGAAGCCTTAGCATTTCTGGCCCTTACACCCTGGGCCAGAAATTGTGAAACAGATTCTTTGGATGCGTACCAGTGTGCCTCGGCAGCAGCCCACCGTCCACCAAGACCCGATGCGGCTCTCACGGCTACCCCGGCCGACACCTGCGGCAACACTTAGGACTTGTCGGGCTGAGGACGAATTGTTCATCTGGGTAGTTGTCAAAATTATGGTCCCTTTTGGGGTACCCTAAATAAGAGGTGCCGTATTATAATAAGGACCCAAAAAGGGACCATAATTTTGACAACCACCCATCTGGGAACTTGCCATACCTAAACACTGGACACGAGGCATCCCTCTGTCACAGCCCTTGATGAAGAAAGGTCTGGCTGGGGAACCACTTCACAGGGGTTGCGGAAGAAGGCCTTTAGAGCGACAAGGCAGGAGAACAGGCAACATGGGAGGCTATGCACCAGACGACCCAAGAGCTGACACTTGATGGCATGCCGTGATCTCAGCAAAGAACCGGCCGAGCTTGGAAAGTCTTTCCCTCCAACAACATCAACCTACAAGTACAAAGCTGCTAAAGCCCAATGTTCAAGTTGTGCCTCATCTTCCTCGAGGCCCTGTGCCTTGAGGTCACAAAGCCCCTGTGCCCACTGTTGAGCGCGCACCTGGCTTTCACAGCACTGAAGCTTCCTAGGAGTCTTCGAGTTCGAGGACTTCTCAGACTCTCCTCTGAGAGACTGCTCGTCGCGTCTGTGGCCGAGGCTGCGGCAACGGCGTTGAGCACTGCGTTGTGCGTAACGATGCTGGGCTGGAGCTCCTACGAAGCAACGGAATGGGAAGAGTCAACCAAACAGAAGATCACATCCGTCAGAAATCCAGCAGACATGTCGTGTGTCATGATGGTCTACACCTGCATGACAGCTTGCACGCGACAGCGATTGCCCCTGAAGAGGTCCTCGCCACGCATGGCCGCAACGGCCTGCGGTCGGTTGCAGGAGCTGCTGAAGCAATAACACCGACAGCCATTGTAGCTCATGAAGCAGAGAAGCTGACAGCTGGAATCATCACCACTCGGGCTTGGGGACTCCCACAAAGCCTGGCCTGGCAAGCTTCTCGCCATGACTTCTGGGCTCCCAGCTGCGAGATGCGCTTGGTCCACTCCTGCCATCAAAGGCCATCAAGTCGTTTCGGCCAGGTCAAGGTCAACCTAGCCAGCTGGCTTGATGCTTTCGTGTCATGTCGCAGCGTGTCCTTTCTCGCGATAACATCGCTGGCAACTGCATCGAGAAGCATGGCGCCGCCATCACCGCAGCAAAGGTCCACAGCGGCTTTCGGCTTTTGCAGAATCTACCTCTTTGACGCCTTGCAATTTGGAGGGCCAGAGCGGCGTTAGGGGTGGACGACCAAGCAGCGACTGCTTCATACCGCTTCCATGTTCGACTCCCGTCTCGAGAACACGTGATACGACTAGGACTCTTGGCAGTTGCATGGGCTTAGCTTTTGCTGCCTGCCGTAGCTGCAAAGCCTGGGTGTTTGGCAAACGGCTACTCGCGATCTCTCGCAACATCGCAGCGATTGCCGTGACAGTCATGTTGGATGAAGCTCCGCAAGTGATGCTTTCATTCCCAACCCGTCACTACTGCACCACGCAAGAAGACCTGCAATGCCCATGCAACACTTTTAAAGATCCTGTTCAAATTCGGCCGAGTGGTATTCTGTGCTGGTCTCTGCGCCAATGACCCAGCCCCAGTTGTCCTTGGCAGTATCAAGCACAAATTACATCCTGCGGCGCCGTTCGGCAAGTGCGAGTGCCGGCTGTTGCAGCCAGGTAGCAGAGTTTCTGCTCACCTCGGCAATCGCCCCTCCAGATTCTCTGTTTACTCTACCTACCCACTCTTAGACACACGACATCGTTCAGCAGGGGGCATAAACACAAATAATGCCGTGCCTGAAGCGGGTCGATGCCCTGCATCTCGAAAAATCGACCGCCGTGGAGTAAGGACCTGCCAGTAACTCTTTCTACGGTGAACTCTACGACCCCTGTCAGAGCGGTTCAGGGCTCGGGAACTACAGTGCCAAGTGGAGCTGTTGGCATTATGTTCTCGCTGAAAGAAGCCTGATGTGAAATCGCTAAGTTCGAGAGCTGCAGGAACGTCTCACCTCTTCCAGTCCAAGTTGCCACCTGGTCTCCCCAAAGTGGGGGGACACGAAGACACCGTTCTTCTGGAAGTGTCTGCCGATGACTTGTGGCTTGATAAGTACACCATAGAGCTCAGCACTGATCACCAGCTTTCCGAGACCTCGCCTAAGGCCCATGGAAGATGGCCGGCCGTGGTAAACCAGCCGCCAGCGGAAGTGCGCCACCTCCGAAGCTCTGGACTTTTGCCAGCGCTTGCCAGGTGCTTCTTACCAGGGCCTTACCCGCCTCTGCCTCGGCGATGTGCTGTCTTTTGCTGTCCAGCTCTGCATAGACGTAGCATCGTTTCCTTGGTGCGAAGCATTGTCCTCGCCCCACTTTCCTTCTTTCTGCCGACAGGTCTCCACTTGCTCGGAATCCGCGCCATGCCACTTTGGGCTCCTGGAAGTATTGGGTTTGCTTGCACCGCACGTATGTTCCGTAAACACATGTCCAAACTTCTCATTTGGTTGATGCTTTAGTGTGACGAATAGTGCCAATAGTAGCGCACGAAGCTTGACCATTGTTCCTAGCATGCGTCACTGCCTTGCTGAATCGCCAGCGGCATAAGTCTGACTCGTATCTGCAAGCGAATCACAAGTTGGACCTGACAGACAGGCTGACAGCCTGCCTCTTGTCTTACAACCCCGAGAAACAACTCGGAATAAACACATTCCGTGTTCACAGAAACGCTTTCTGATGCTTCAGGTGCCGAGATTCAGCTCTGTGAGAAACCGGGGTGGTAAGACTGCGAGTTTGTTGGAGATGAAAGCATGAAAAGGCTGCTCACCAACAACTCAGGATCTGCACTTTGCATGGGCCACAGTGCATGACATGCTCTGTGCCGTGACGCATGCAATGCTCCACTCTTCGACCCGTCCGCATGGAAACAATCGGAAGCAACGAGACGGAGTGAAAGCTCAGACCCGATACTAGTTTTTGTTGACTCTGATTTTATCCTACTTGCTCTGCTACTCCTGGGACGTGCGGGTTCGTCTCGTGAAGCGCGTGGAGCAGATCCGACTTCTCCTCAGCGCAGGCAGACGGACACGCGCCAGTGGCCGCCGCAGGAACACGCACTAAGTAGCCGAAATCGCCACCAGGTTTTGCTAAGCTGCAGTGACATGTGGTATCTGAATGTCCCGTCGTTGGAGGAGGGACTTGCACTCTGCCACGGAGAGCTTCAGGCCAGAGTAGTCGCCTCCGTGAGCAGATCTTCTGATTAGCGCACAGCGGGTGCTTAGGAGTTCGGCGAGAGGGGGTTTCTGAGGCCTTAGATGGGGTCATATGGGGGTCTGCGTGCGGTTTTGTCGTAGAGCTCAAAGTCGCGATCTCTGTGGATGCTCTTTCGGAGGATCGCTGAAATTGAAGGTCGAGGGCTCTGCGGCGTGTCTGAGGAGGCTACGTCCATTCGTTCTGGAAGCTTGTACTTTCGCGGGCCCACAGCTCACCTGCTTGGCAAGAGCCCCTCTGTACCCGAAGACCAGGACACACTTTCCTCGCCGCGCATGCGACGCTGCGCTTCGGCTGTTGTAGTAAGGAGCTCCTGTCTGGATCACTGGCGAGATTGGTTTGGTTATCAACATGAGCCAGTCCCAGGGAAGCCCTCGACAAAAGGAAGGCACAGGTGGCCTTGCGTGAATTCCACGGCCGCTTCCAAAGGCCCCCTGCTTCTGAGTGGGGCACGGGAAGTGGCGAAGCTTCAAAGCTAGAGTCATTGAGAAGGTGTAAGCTCTGCATAAGTACTGCAAAACTTGGGAAAATCAATGCCCTGGCTGCGACTGCGCTCCTGAGCCCCCGCATCTTAAACCTGTGTGTCGGTGGATGTTTCTGCTCCTGTCTCTGATTCCTCCGATGGCACAGCGGTGTAGACGGTGTACTCGGCGCCACCGCGGCTCGTCGTGACGGAGCACGGCTTCTCATCGCATGGCAAAGCGTCCCGGAGCTCTTCCATAAAGCTTCTGAAGTCCCCTGCGTCTAGCTGCTGGCCTGTATGCCTCAAGAAGAACTCCTCCACGATTCCACTCTGTCCCTGCAAGCATGTCTGCGCATCCTTGGAGGCAGGTGCTACTGGATTCACAGATCCCCTTTGTGCTGGCGGTCTTTGTGAATCCAAGGATTCCTACGAGTTGTTGGGGCATGTACCGTTACATGAAGGATGCTGATTTGGAAAAGCAACCTTGCCTCCAGGGTTTTCATGTCCAAGTCCTTGTCCGCCAGGTCGTTCTTGTTCAAGCTTTCGATCTGGTCCTTGGTTTTTTTGAACTCTTTGATGTCCTCGGTCAGCTCGAGCACTTGATCCAGCTTGTCGACGTTCCAGAGAATGACCAGAAGGGAGACTGTGTGGCATAACATCCCTGTCATCACAGTAATGACCCGAACCAGCTCCATTGAGCAAGACCACATGCCCAAAGAAGCGCAGTGATCGCCTGTTCGAATCACGTGGAGCACGACGACTGCCTGGGACACATTTGAAACATGCTGAACTACTTGCATATGATCTGAAACTGAGTATATACACTACCAGTGCAATTTCAAAGTAGGAAATGCCCAAAATCAAACCATGATGCCATGTGGAAGTGGAACAGGAGGAGGGCCACGCTACAGACAACACCGACGAGCACGCTGACATATAGGGGCGAGTCAGTCAAATGTACGTATACCTGCAGCGTTGGTCGCACAGGAATGCACATCCCGATTGTCCTGGACTAGAAGGGTTCTGATGATACTGTTACTCAGATGAAGAGTGTAAAGCATGCACCGGCAATGCAGGAGACACCTTGTTGGCCTGCTTCATGTAGGGGTTCTCTTCTTGGGATGGAGTTCCGATGGTCACCTCTTCGTCCTCGGCATGGAGTGGCTCTCCGTGCACAAACGGCTGGATCTTCTCGAAGAAGTTCAGAACCAGCGACACAGGTCGCAGGAGTACTGCCTCTGGTTTGCTTTTCATGTCGTCCTCAGTCGGTTCCCGCAGCAGCTCTTTCAGCTTGTCGTCATGCGAAAAGGCGACTTGCGCGAGGTTTGATGTAAAAGATGTCTTGGACGTTCGTCGCTTCTTTCTGTAACCTCTGTAGACAGAGCTGCACCACGATTGAAGGCCCTGGGCGAGCTGTTGGTCCTGATCCAGCAGCGGCCGAGCCGCTTCTGGATCATGGGCCGTCTTCGTCCGAGGCAGCTGCAAGCTCCTGGCATGCTCGCTCTGTATCGTGAGGAGCTTCACCATACTCGTCTGCTTCTGCTGCCTCAGTGTCTGAGTCAAGTCGTAGAAGACGGCCTCCTGGTTGAATGCCAGAACCAACTTCTCGAACTTCTTCATTGCCGGCTTGCGCAGACGGTGGAGATGGTTCGCCATCAGCTCAACAAGATTGTTGAATTCCTCCGGGCAGAACTGCTCGCATTTCTGGAGGATGTTGCGCATCTTGTGTATGTGGCCTCGCACCTGCTGCACGAGCTGAATCTCAAGCAGCTCGCATAGCCTCTTGGCCTGAGATGTTGCATGGGTCAGGGCAACGCCGATCTGGCTGTTCATGTCGTCAATGCACTGCTTCCTGTCCTGCTTCAACCGATCAAGATTCTTGTCGAAGTGAATCAGTGCCATGACGGATTGCCAAAACATCATCAACATCATCAAGCCGCCCAGGAATTTTACCGAACAGGTATACTTGCCTGCACCCTCTTGGGTCCACGGTTTGTTCTCGAAGCATCGCAGCTCCACAACATCCAGGAGCCAGGTCACCCCAAAAACTCCCGAAATGACACTGCCGATGAAAAGCATAAGCCGGAGGAAGCTGAATTCCACAAGATGCTCTAAATGGCAGACACGAAGCCACCAATGCGCATCCGGCCATAATCTCTCAAAAAGGGACCCCATGGCGTCAATCTGCTGAGTGCTGCTAGTCGGTTAGATCGGGGTGGAACTGTGTGCTATTGCGTTCGGAATGCGCCGCTGGTGCAACATGTTTATCCCACATGCGATTCAAGGGTCGCTTGTCTACTTCGCTACTCTAACTGGTTCGGGCCAATCCGAGATTCACCGAGTCACAGAGGGATACCAGGCCGTGGCAAACGTAGGAAAGCAAAAGGTCTCGTTTCCTCGAGAAGTGCTCGGGGCATTCGTAGTGTCCCGGTGAAGTCCAGGAGGTGGAAAATTGTTCTTTCGTACCTTTTCCTCGTCAAGTCTTCCCACAACTTCTACATGTTGTACTGTGGCCAGTTCGAGCGTTTGGGCTGGCACACGCTGTTTGATGTCGTGCGGGTCACATCTGCGAGATCACCCGAGCAAACAGAGCAGGGCGATACAAACGGACGAGGTTCATGATTCCAGCTCGGTATTCGCTGTTGCGCGAAGGGCGACTAGTCTACACCAATGCCATCAGGAACAATCTGTTCTTCCCAGTTGCCGTTGCGGAAGAGCTCCCCTGGCTTCATCCACTGCTTGCCTGCGCACACAGACCGGGACATGTCGAACACTGCGACTCAATGGATTTGTGGTAGCATCCAGTGCAGCAAGGGCAAGAGGGCTCCACAGTTTCACCCCTCCCTAAAACAACTCGAATGTCGGCCTTCTTGCACAGCCCCAAATGCCCAAAGACATGTTCAAGTGGAGCCGGGCTGCCGCGCCAACGATCCTGGCACAGGCTCTTCCAGGTGTCCTCGCAGACAAATCTTCGTGGGTGCTGGACATTCTCCTAAACCAGCTACCAACTACTCCGACAACGAGCGCGTCCAGCCCTGCTTTGCAGATGCGGATGGTGTCTGATGAGCGAGCCCTCGGGTGTGATTCCGAACTGGTAGAGCTGGGGAGTGATGCATCGAGATGCTTCTGCTCGTGGAAACGAGCATTGAAATCATTGAACCCCCGCCGTGCTGACGTGCTTTGCAATATTGTATGCGCGTTTCACGTGGATGTCTGCAACCGTTCTCCAACATCACATGCAGATGCCTCGAGCGAGGCTTGCAGCGACTGTCTTCACTGTCTGTGTCCTGTGATGTCCTTGCCCAGACCCGAACATGCAGCGGCACTAGAGAAATAGTCTTGCAAAACAAGCACTTGTCATTGGAATAGTGTCCACCGACCTCATCGTTCGCCAAGGACTGGAGCTTGCATTGGGCTGGGCCGACCCGACACAGGTCAGCTGGAGAAAGGAAGGACAGCACCTGCCACGGGATCTCTGCTTGTAGTCATGCGCCACTTCATGCAGAGAAGATCTCCCGCTGCAACAGTTGCCAGCCTTTAACCATGTCTCGTCCAACAACGGAGGCCTTAGCTCGTTCACTGGCTGGTAAAGTGCGGTGCAAGTCAGGGCGATCTCAAGCGCAGGCTGCGCTATTGGCTCGTAAGTCCTGCACCCTTCGCTGGGCATCTGTGCTGGCAATGTCGTCTTGGTCTCATCAGCCTCTGCCGTGATACGAGGCCTGAATTCGCTTTTTCAGCATTCAAAAGTCTGCAGGCGACATTTAGCAGCTAAGGACCGGCAAGACGCACGAACAAGCCCAGATTCGCACTTCAGGCAGAAGATCCTTTCAAATCTCAATGCAAGACTGGCAGGTGGAGGCGCAGAATTGCTCTGAGCCAGCACGAGTCAAGCTCCCGCTCCCCTAAAGTACCCAAAGACCCGACGAGCCTGTGGTCCTCACTTGCTCTCTCGGCTTCCGAGTGAAGCAGCGGTGCTTGCACCCTCGCGGCGCTGAAACAGAATCTTTTACTATAGTAGATCATAGCATGTTCTATTCTATTCCATTCTAGTCGGTTACACTATACTATACTATACTTTACTACACTATACGATACTATACTATACTACATTATGTTATGTTATACTATACTACACATTACTATGCTATACCCTGCTATACTATACGAAACTACTCTACTCGTCTACTGTACTAGACTATACTATACTATACTATACTATGCTATACTATACTATGTGAAAGTGAAACTAATTGAATGTGTGCAGTGTTATGCTGTACTCTACTACTATACTATACTATATTGTACCGTTCATTCTCGGTTCAGAACGTGTGTGTCCAAGCAGATGCTGACACTCTCTGTGACTCCCAACATCGCGAGCACCATGCAGCACAGGCCACACTTCAGTGCGACACGGATCATAAGAGATCTCCGAATCTGGACCGCAATGGCAGCCTGAAGCCCTGCAGCAAAACCCGAACTTGAGAACCCTGAGCATCGCTGAACCTTTCAACTCTCTGATCGGCTCCCTACCAATAGCAAAGCCTTGCGTAGACTCCAAGACTAGGACAACGAGTCCACGGGATGCCTAGGACCCGGCGAGGTGCCCAACCCCAGACGGGCGGCCGCACGCCGCAGCAGTGGCCAAAGCCAAGCGAGTAGTGACATGAGATGGGAGTGGCAGGGAGGGTGTAAGGCGTTGCGGACCTGGCCCTACAGGCCCTACACTACAGGTTTCTCCCGAATCTTAGCCACTGCCATGTCAATGTGAAATTGTGGATTTTGCGAGGAGCGGGCCGGCTTCCAGGTAATATAGTAGTCTCTATTATATTATAGCACAGTAGATATTAGAATATAAGGCATTATATCATATCATGTTTGTTGCAATGTACTATTCTGCCTGGTACACCACAGCACCCGAGTGATAGATGGACCTATGGACCTACGCTGTTCTGCACTTCGTCGGGTCTTCTGGCAGTCAGATTGCGACGCTGTTGGAGGAGGCTTTCACGCAAAGCGCCTTGATCACTGCAAGAAGCTTCCCGGGCAACGTGTGAGATACAGCACAGAACAGCCCGTGGCAGATTGAGCGTATCGAAATCTTTATAACCCGCGGAGGTGCATCCTACGATGGTACCACTCCTGGGACGGCGAATACCTCCAACGAAATCCCGTAATTCTTCTTGAGTGACCGAGAACTTGAAGTAGGCCGACCAAACTCTTTGAGGCGCGTCCATCAGACTAACAACCCCGCCCGGAGCAAGACTAGAGAAACAAGAAGCGGCGTAAGAAGGAAAACGGCGTTGAGAAGCTTCCGATTGAGCGCAGCATTAAGGTCTCTAGCACCTGTGGCTTAGACTCAGAGAGGAGTATAAGAGAGTATAAGTCAGTGTAAGTGTATTGTAAGAGAACAACATGATGTAGCATGATGTAGCACATATTGTATGATATAAATTTTTGTGACATAACATGTATGACTCTCTTGGGCGTGAACACTGCATCGGGTTGAATTTTGTCTTACGGGGGGCAATAATCTTCAGACCTCTGCTTAGGCAGCTTCCTGGCAAAAAGCGCAGATGGGAGCCCTGTGAAGCTAGACTGGTATGTTGAGGCCACTTCCGAAGCCCGTTTTCTTTGTCATCGCGCACAGTTGCACACGTCACACGCTTTCCCCAGAGTGTTTCTTCGCACACTTTGCCACGAGACCATGCGGCCATGTGGATCGACATCAAGGATTCTCCGTTGTCATATGTGGGTGCCGCACAATGAACAAACAACTAAATAAAGCTATACGTCCTAGTTATCCCTTAATTACCTCTGGCCCGCTTCTGCTTGGGCTCAGGCGTCTCCAGGGAAGCAAACTTGCTGCGAAATTCAAGCTGAAGCTTGGCAACGACTCTGCATCCTTGGGCGAAAGAGCTTAAATACTAGTTGGCACGACGTCCTTTGATTAAGGAGTTGCATGGTTGCTTCGCTACCAAAAACAGTTTATGTCAGGACCATTCATGTTGAATGGAAAAACTTTGCAAACGGTGCTATGAACTGAACCCTACAGAGCGCCCTGTCTCGAGGTACGATTGATAAATCGCGCATTCTGCTGAAATTCTTTCGTGCTGCTCATCCAAGTCAGTTTCGGAATAGTGCGCAACAGCTTACCGAGGTGCAGAATGAAACTCGAAAACTTAGAGTTGCCAATCAAGCTAATTGGGTCATAACAAATATTCTGAAAGCGGCTGAGATCACAAACCCGACTTGCCCTGTGTAGACCGAACAGACCAAATCCAAGTACGAGTGTCTTTGCTCGACATTCCTGGCCAGAACAGATTTCTGTTCGTCCCCATGGAACTTTGGGAAAGCTTCACACCAGGGAACAAGGATTGCTCCAGGCGTTGCCGGCACCGGACCACTGGATGTAACGAGGAACTCGTCCTGCTCGTTACCAAAGCGCAAGCCCAAGAGATTCTCCAAGGAAATGGTGCCGCACTTGACTCGGTACGTCGATGCGTCACCCATGATGCTCTCTCCATCTGTAAACTTCGCATCAGAAAGGGCCACCTGATGTGGGAAAACATGTAGTGTCGATCTTGGGTCAAACTGAACGCCAATCCGCTCTTCGCCTTCGGAGTTCATACAGAGGTCTTTGACCACCAAGCCACGTCGGCCAGCCTCAGCGTCCCCGGCAAATGAATCAATTATGTACCGTAGAAACGCGACCTGCATTCCTCATTCTTGTCGAAAACCAAGCGGGTGCCCACACAAACAAAGCCTGTGCTGTGGATACACGACGTAACTAGAAAATTGTGCACGCAGAAATGTTCCGAGACGAATCTGAATCGAGTCGTGTGAGCTGGTGTTTCCTTAAAAAAGGCGAGTTGGAGTGAGGTGGGCCGTTGTGTTTTTTGGTGCCCTGGAAACCATGAAACATACCCCCTCTTTGTGGCAACGGGCCAGCAAGAACGAATTGGGCAAGATTTTCTGGCTAGAGTAGCGGCTACACAAACTCACAAGTCACGACAATCCATGCACAACATGAGGGGCACTAAGTTGATTTCATGTCCCAACTTGAAGCGGACGAAAACAACAACATCGCAGGGGCAGAGTGAGACTGATTTTGATTCACGCCTGTAAGCCTCTTCGAGCACATGCTGTCCTACAAGTCTCGAAGCTTCTATTACCAGGTCTGGCCACCACCACACAGAGCCGCCAAGCCGCCTCGAAATCCTTAAGCCTCTGAACTTAGGCGCTAGATGCTCAAGCGCCGTTTAGGCGTTTGCCAGCGTTCAGGTCCAGGTAACGTTTTTAGGCGATTAGGGGCAAGTAGGAGCTGTTGGTGGCCGCACCCGAACTAGGAGCATGTAGACGTTCCTTTCATTAGCGCTTGTGGTAGCGCCTTTAGTAGTTTAGACGCTGTTTGGCGCGTTTAGGCGCTACATGTTGGGGGTCCTTCTTGGAATGAGCGCTCACTTGTTATATGGCTGCAGTGGGCTTCAGGAACAGCTATAGCCTATAGCAGCTAATGGATGAAATCTACCGTCACAAGACTGCTGCAGATGCTTGGCTCAAATGGCACGGTTTCAGCAAGTTTCAGCTTCGCGTCGGCACGGGTTGAAGGTTGTGTTTGTAAAACTCTCGACGGCTCTTTTGTGCCCAGCATACGGGAGTGCGGAAGATTTTTCAGCCACAAAAACTCATCATTCCGGCCTCTCTCGAAGGTTTAGGTTTCAGGGTTTAACATGTAAGCATTAATCATTTCATGTCAGCTTGTATATCTATGTTTTTGAGCCTGGCTGCCAACACGCCTCTTGAAGCCGCGAAGCCTTTTAAAAGATTGTAAAAGACCTTAAAAATCCTCAGCAACCTTTCAAAGCCTCTAAAACCTCCAATAGAAGCCTCTAGCAAACATGTAAGCTTACAAGAGGCTTCTGAGCCTGGCTGCAAGTACGCCTCTGTAACCCCGTAGCGCCTGGCCGGGCAAACTATATGACTTTGCAAACTTTAGGCTTCAAACCCCCTAAACCCTGAACCCTAAAAGCCCCTCTGCCTGGAAGCCCCGAAGCCTCGAAGTCGCGAGGCCTCCAAACTTGAACGTTTAGCCCGCTTTTTCAAGCGTCTTTAGGTGCTTAGGCGCTTAGGGGCTTGGGGGCTTCGGGGTTTTTAGAAGCTTCCCGCTTTGTGCTCTTGCAATGGCAACACAGAGACCCGAGATGATTTTATCTTCAAGCCTTCAATGAAAAGGACGAGCATTGTCAGCACGCAATCACAGCGAAATAGGACCATTCTCAAAAATGCTGTACTCCATTTGGGAATCCACAACTTGTGCACCCAAGAAACTCCCCAACGCCACGCCGAGCGGCTTGCTTTTCAACAGTTTTTCCGAATCACCGAGGTCACAACACACTTCTCAAACAATGCCTTGCCGTCGGTTCGTTGCTGAAACATGCAAGACATAAACGGTCAGGGCTCGATCACCTGGGTCTTGTAGAGGTGTTTCATCCATAAACCACAACACAACTGATTGGCGGCGTATTTGAAAAAAACCACGTATCAGTGCTCCATGGCCTTTCGCGACGCGTACAGAACACCTTTCGATAGCTGGACACGACGCCAATCAACATACAGAATGCACATTCGGACTTTGAAGTCAGGCAATGGTCTTTGTGTACCTTGAACAGCGCCCTTTCAGGTTTGTCTGTGGCCCCTTCGAAACGAAGAGCCTATCTGAAACTTCGTAATGTGCACGACTTATCGCTTCACTCGCAAAACAGAGGCGCTTAGCCGACCGAGCAACTGCCACCAGGACTTCTGGCGGCGGCCGGCGGCGCTCATCAGATGAGCGCAGCAGCGCAACAAAGTCTTCTTTCCGGGTGACGCCGCGCATCAGCTCCCCTTCCCCACGCTCTCGCAGGCGCTCCTGTGCAGGGAAACTGGCATGTCATCTGGCACATGGAAGTTGCTGAGTCCTGTTCATCAAAATTGAAACCTTTGCCGTCAAATAGAACAGTTTAGCACAATGACTGGGCGTAGCAGCGATGAAACCTCAACCGAAGGTCCTTGATCTGCGCAATCGTGAGTCTGCCTGCATCTGAAGGGATCTCAGCCCTCACTGATAAATTCTCGAGAGCCGTGGCCACCTGCTGCTTTTGGATGGATGCCACCCGAAGCCGCAAGAAGAAGTTCGGGGTCATCGACGAACCCCTGGCTTGCAGGTCACCTCAGCTTGAAGTGTTCAGGGTTGAATCTGCAAGGCTCAGCAAGAAACTCGTCAGTCAACAAGCTGGCGACCTCCAAAAAATGACTCCTTTGAGCACAAGCGAAAGGGTGACCGTTTGTTTTGTGAGTGGGCACCTCGAATTTGCCATCATCTTCACCATGCTACGTCTGCTAAGTATGGGGTGCCAACAACTACTTGAACCCCCAGATCAATGCTTAGCGGCAATGGATAGCGGCTCCTTTGAAATTCGTGAGCTCGAAGCTGAGGAAGTCCGTGTCACTAGGACGTAGGCTCTCTTGCGAAACATCCTCGGTGACGACAGAGCGTATGCATGAGGCCAGAACTACCCGAACCCACATGACCTCAAGGCTGGATGGTCTGCCACAGTTGCGGGCCATCCATACCCTCCAGAACAAGGTTCGCTTGACGGATCACTTACATCTGAATCACTTTGAGATTAGAAATCTCGGCTAGTTTGCAGGCGAGGTGGAAACCATGACATCTCCGGCGACATCACGAGCAACAAAAGCGATGCTAGCACACATCGGTAACGCGTGCAAGCAAGTCAAGAGACGACGTACACATGCTGACATCACAAATGTCTTGTGAGCACTCATGCTGAGAACCGGCACTGCTATCAAGCGACTTGTTAAGTGAGATTGTCCCTCAAAAATCTTTTCAGTTCAGCATGGCAACTGATGTCAGCAAGGGCCAACATAAAGCAACGACAGGGGGAAAATGCTACGATTTCGAAGGTGACGGAGGTGATTATGCCCCTGCCTGCACAAAGCATAAAAAACTTTGCTTGTAAAAGAACAGCTTGTTCCCGGCATTCACTGAAACCACTGAAGCCAAAGATCCAACAAAGATTCACAGCTGGGGCCCCACCAACCCACCAAGCCATATTCTTACTTGTGAAATGCTTGCAAATCCTGTTTCAATGATCATATCTGCTTAGCCAAAGGTCAAATGGCTTCAATGTCAAGGGCATTGACACTCGGCTGCTGCTGTAGCAGATCGACTCCCTGCAACGATCCAACATCTTCGCAACAGTTCTGGCAACTGCCTACTTTCATTCAAGTGCTTCCTCTGGCGTCTGTTCATGGTGTAGGTGCTTCAGGTAGATGCAATAACCATGAGACATGCTTCTGAAGGTCAATGCCATCAGGGTCTGATACTGTCCCTGCTGCCCAAACGGCTGCACAGTCGAGTCACTCATCGGCAAGGACCTGCACCCAGGAAGGCTGCTCAGGGCTTTTTTCAAGGCCAGGGGTTTAGGGTATACGGCTCAGGGCCTTTAAGGCAAAAGTATAGCAACTTTAAGGTCTTTGGGGTCGTTAGTCTTTCGGGTTTGGGATTTGCAGTTTCGGGTTTGCTGTAGGGTGTTTTGGTTTGAAAGTCATTTCGGTTCAGGGCTTAGGACTTGAGTTTAGGGTCTGAGGGGTCTTTAATTTATGGTATTTAGGGTCAACAGCTTAGGATTCAGGGTGCAGGGTCTTTAGGGTTTAGGATGCAGGGTTTCGGGGTTAGTCTTAGGGTTTCAAGTTTAGGGCGTAGGGCTTCAGGTTTTCGACTTAAGGTTACAGCTTAGTTATTTTTGGGGGGAGGACCTCTTTTCCCTCTGCTGTCCACGTCAGGAACCCCTGAACGGAGCAGCTTAGGGTTTGAGGCTTAGGGTCTTCAGGGAGTAGGGTTCAGGTTTGGGGGTTTGGCTTTAGAAAAGCTCTCTGAGAAAGCTACTGGGAGTTACAACTCTTTCCACCCTCCCCTGCCCCAATCAGCGATGCTGACACTACCACCAACTGTCTCTATCACCAACATCCAGTGCAAGAGCAAATGCATCACAGAAAGACGGTCCCCGGTGTAAAACGATGAAGTGGCCAGGCACTTGGCAGCACCGTCAAAAGTCTGGAAGGAAAGGCATGGCAAGCCATAACTCTCAAGTAGCCAAGACTTTTTGTTCGTGCTCTGCGGAAGGTCCCAAGCCACGGAAGACTTCGGCTGCTGGCCCCTACGACACGTCATTCGGTACTGCAATTGATGCAACTATCGCCGCCTGGCATCTTTGTCCGGTCTTCTTGCTTCTACAGGGCACAGCCATGCCGCTGCCAACTGCAGCCAGGGGGCCGCGAAGACCCCGATTCTAAAACTCACGACAGGAAACGGTCACGGCTGACGTATTCTAGTTGCCCGAAGCGGAACGAAGACAGCTCCGGTCCCAGTCTGGCTCACTGCCGGGTGTTCCGAAAGCAACGTGACTTTAGAAATGGCTGCCTCAACCCCAAGACCTAGATTCCTAGTTTTGAACTCTACAACGCATCACTGGGAATAGCAGGCTGGTGGCCAGAGGAGACAGCTTGGGAAGGCGTTTCATTCATCGGCACTTACTTGACAAGAATTGGCTTTGGCATTGTCGGACCAACCATCTTCCAGCATTGTGAGACGGTGAGCAGCCTCAGGAAGTCTACCACGGACACTTCAGCTCTTCAGGCTGCTCGAGCACGCGGAGCGGGGGCCTGCGACAGTCTGGACGTTCGTCATGACGGGTCGAAACTGCAGCAGGAAAGAGTCCTCTGAAGTCCGAGAATTCAACAGACTTTGGGATCCAATAGTATCGCAAATAGCAGATAGAATACCGTATATCGCATAGAGTAAAGAACATAGAATATAGAGAATAGAGTCTAGAGCATAGAGTCCGGAATATAGAGTATATCGAGAATCACATAGAGTATCAAGTCGACGGTATATCATACATAGTCCATAACACACAGTAACCATTGCAATGTGTGTGTTGACAGTCTGGGCCTTGAGGCTGTCGGTCATCCTTTGTGCTGGCGAGACCTCTTCGCCGCCTCTGCCTGCCACCGAGCTTGCACATTCCGCAGAAGCTGGAAATCAAAACAGATTGATCTTGAAGGACATGATGCTTTTCGAGCGAGGGGAGCATGCAGGATTTGGAGAGTGTGCAGCGCAGCCACCTTCAGCGCATACTCCGGAAGACGTGTCCTGCCAGTGGCCATTACTCAGCAATATGGCGCTTCCTAAGCTGATACGCTGTGGATATTCTGTGCTACAGCAGCATCGGCTGCAACCTCTCCAACACAATGTCCGGACTCGCCCCGATCCTCTTGACTGTTTTCAGCTTGAGCTTGAACTCGGAGTTGTAGGTCTCCTGATGCCAGTACTAGAAGTGGACTTCGCCCTTGACTGATCTCTGCTGCGCCTTCTCTGCCCACGTGGAGACCACTTCGGCGAACTGATGAAGGGATGGCCTGGTGGTTCGGCGGCATTTCTGAAGTTTGTTCTCACTGAGGCTTTCTGCTTTCTGCGCCCCCCCCCCCCACCTCAGGTCCACCGTCTGACCCACGTAAGAGCCCTGGTCGCCCAGGAAAGCCAGCTCTATGAACATGCCGCCTCGGCTTGCCACGCCTCTTGCCAGGTTGATTTTATGCACCGCAAAGCCCCAAACCCTAAACCCTAAACCCTAAACCGCCGTCTTAGGGATGCTTGCAAAGCGGGAAAGCAGCGCTGAGGGCTTCGCAACCCCATTCCCATTCAGTGTCGGCACTCCTGCGCCCAGCTGAGTCTCATGAGCACAGGCTTGAGTTCGCAACCATGAACTCAAGGGTGACACCCTGCCTCAGCTCGTACTGCTCCGGGTTCGGATGGATCATCATCCCGGAAACTGCACCCTGGAAGGAACGACTTCGGACGGCATCTCGGCATTACTTTCAGGCCTCCAGGGTCTTGTGGAGAATCCGCAGCTTGCTCTCGACCCAGCCACAGAACCTTGTCATTCGATGTCGGCTTACGACCTGGCCTCCAGATTTGCACCCTCCGAAGCTGAGGCCAAAGCTTGACATGTGCCTCTGCGCTCTTGGCGAGCACTTCCAAGCAGAGGTAATGCCTGGCAGATGCTTCAGATTCTTGTCCAGCTGCTTATGCCAGCTTCTGTCCAGATGACCAACTAAGCAGCCCTGTAAAGTGCAAACAAAGCAGACGATCTTACCAGCACGAGTCAGACGTGCAGAAATCACCAAGGCTTGTCTTCCAAAGTCGACGGGCTCACTTGAAGGGATCGTTGCTGAAGAACGGGAAGGGGTTGTGAACTTCCTCCATTCAGGCACTCAATGCCCTTGACTCAAGGCTGCATGGACGTGTGAAAACAGGGATCTCGGCACAATCTGCACTGACTGTGGCTCTGCCAGCCGCCAACTCAAAGGGGCCCGACTGCTGTCCTTCCAGTCAGCCTTGTTGTTTTCTACCTTTTTCACTACCTGGCAAAGATTAGTGCAGCAGCAGGTGCCAAGCAGCAAAGAAAGAATACGGATGGATGGCTGTCAGAGCGCCTCGTATCCTCGCCGAAACTCGTCAAGGAGAATCCGCTTCGTGGTGTCTGTGACATTATGCCTGCGTGGTAGCCCAAACTTCTGGACAGAGGTGGGGCTGCCAGCATCAACCCGCTTGACTCGCTTGCACATACTGCCAACTTCTAACTCCCATCTTCAAGAGTGAGCCCTATCACAAAGCCAGGACCAGGTCTTAGATCTGTTGCAGCCGGGCGGCGTGGAGTTCATTGCCGGAAAAGCCGGGGTGATGACTGGCATCAGGTGCTGCCTCGCTTTGGGTTATCTAGCATGACCCACGACCGCCGTGCGATTTCCATCTGGTGTCGGCGATCTGCTCCAACTTGCAGCCAAAGTGCTTGTCGGCAAGACTTGTCTTCGGATTCCAGGGCTGGCAGGGCTGCAAGATTTTAAAAAATGCGCAAGAAGGCCTTGCTCGACTATATACATGGGATCGTGCATCCGGCCTTTTGGCCCACAATTCCGGCCACGCTCTCCACGATCTCACAAAGCCTGAGAGCATTCGGCATCGGCGGGGATGGCTGTGAGGAGTTCGATTTCTTTAGCCGAGGGTGGAGCACGACTGGCTTCGACCAATTCCACTGGTCATAGGTTCGAAAGAACCTTGCAGCATGGGCAAAAGGGCATCATAGGCGATGTCTCCTCCTGGCTGAGTGGTGGGCCGATTAACGAGCTGGCTGAAGCAGTAGTTGGGGTAAAGTTGACCTCAGATTGCTGCTAGATCCGTCTTACGAAAGAAGACGGCGACGATGCTCACAACGAACGACCAGAAGAAGAACGAGCAGGAGCAACCATCGAGGTCGCAGCTGGTGATAGAATCCCATGGCTGTGTGGGGATGAGAGCCAAGGAGGTCGGATTTTAGAAATTCGCCCAAACCTCCTGTGGACTCAGCTGCCTAGAGTTGAATCACCACCTTCCTACATGTCACATGCGTTTATACAACGGCAAATATGAAAATATATTGTAGGTAGGTGGATAATTAGGTAGAGAGAGATGGGCACATGGATACATGAATGTGTTTGTATTCACCATATTCTGTGTATGTATATATACATATATAAATAAATACATGTGTATATATATATATATACAAACGCACACAGACATACATAGGTTTATTTATTTGCTAACCTACAGTTTCCCTGCGCTCCTAATTTCGTCTCTGGGGCTCTTGCAGCCTGCAGTGCCCCTGCAGTCCCTGCAGCCCTACGTACGAGTTGCCCTTGCCGCCGCTAAACCTCTAATGCCCCTAGCATTACTACTAGTATTGGCATTAGTAATTACGGATATATATATATA